CTCAAAGCTTTGGGGCTGCACGTATAGCTGTCCCCTAAGGAACTGCACAGAGATCCAAATACTTGCACAATTTTTTTTTTTTGGGGGGGGGCGTAAGTACTAAAGTTTCACAACCCAGGGCCTCACGCATGCTAGGACTGATTACTGAGCTACGCCCCCAGCTCCCCAACATTTTATCTCCATACTTAACTCAGGATCTTCCCCCATGAAAAAACTGAATCCTCTCAGCAAGCAAATCTCTTAAACCCCCACGTTTTTCTGAGCTCTTTGGTTTTGCTCTTTGATGTGTCTGCCTGGTACACCTGTCCCCAGCTGTCCCTGGTAAATCTCCTGCAGGGTATCCCTTACTGCCTGGAGCCTCTTGTTACCCATCAGTGTGTTTTGTTGGGTTCTTTTCTTTTCTTATTTTGGAGACAGGGTCTTGCTATGAAGTTCAGACTGGCCCTGAACTCACTATGTAGCCCAGGCTGGCTTTGAATTCACAGCAATCCTCTTGGCTCAGCCTCCCATGTACTGGGATTACTGAGATGCGGGACCTTTCCTGGTTTGTTGCACTATTTTCATTTGTAATGGACTGTGAGCAATGCTAGGATAATACCAACCTCTAGTTCAAAGCCTGACGCTACTGTCCAGTAAATTCTGATCAACTAAAAATGAAATGATGACATCAAAGTTAAACCTGAGGGGCCGGGAAGATGGCTCAGTGGAATAAGCACTTGTCTGGCAAGTGCAGGGGCCTGAGTTCAATCCCTGGTTCCGAGGGGGGAAAAAATGTCATCCATGCAAGGGGAATTAGCAGTCAGGATATCAAACTTAGGAAAATGAGTATTACACAAATATGGCCAAATGTACTGTGTGCTAGACAGGCATATTGAGCCCAAGGGCAGATGAGGAAGATCTAGGAGGAGGTCATCAAGGAGGGGAATTTCCACTCACTCGGGAGCTCTACAGTCTACAGAAGGGTGAGGCCATGACACGGCCAGAACCTGAGAGCCAGGCCTGAAAGAAGGGGCATGAAGTCCTGCAAGCCAGGCTGAAGGGTGTGTCCTTCCCTGTGATAGATCTCAGCCCAGCCCCTCATCCACTCCAGAACATCTCATTTACTCTCACAGCTTCATGTTGGGCCTCTGTCTAGGCCCAAACCCCATGTCCAATCACCTTGGTCAGCCACTTAAGACATCATAAGCAAGATGTACAATGAACAAGTCCACACTTAACTCTAGGCAGCTCCCGATTTAGTGCCCAGAAACCCAGGGGTTTCCTTCCCTTCCCAGCCCTTGCAATTCAGGCCCAGTCAGGCCCAGCCCAGATTTGTCCCAGATTTGTGCACTAAAGGAGTTCTTCCTGTCTCTTTTTTTTTTTTTTTTTTTTTGTAGAACCAGAGATCTTCCTGTCTCTTACTCTTCTGCACTCAGTGCTGCACGAGAACCCGGATGGCACCACTCCTAGCACCCCTCTGGGAGCCCTCCACGCTCACCACCCTCCCTCTGCTCCATCCCTCAGCCAGAGGGGTCCCCTTTCAGACCCTCCAAGGCCCCAGAGCCTTCTCACACAGAACCTTTGGCCTCTCTACACGAACTTTTCTTCAGCTCAAGGATGAGGCAACTCCTTCACCACAACAAACAAATTAAGTCTGCCCATCAAACTCTTTATACAGTGCAGTGGACCTGGTCTGCCTGCCATCAGCTGTGATTCTGGGCACATCCATAACCCTGCTAGGGCCTCTTCAAATAGTTTTGGCGAGGATCAGACACTTGTGTGTGTAAAATGCACAGAGTGCTCGGCCAAGCAAGCACCAGAAGCATGAAATCAACACCCACCTGGCTGCTGCTACATCAGGGCACATGTCTCCACGACAGTAGAGTCACACCGAGGCACAGACTATTTATCTTACTTTTTAGTTGTGTTTGGCTTTTTTGTGTGTGTGTGGAACCGGGGAGTGAACTCAGACCCTTGCACTTGCAGGAAAGCACTTATTCTACTGAGCCACCTCCCTGGTCCTCGTTTGGCTGTTTTGAGACAGTTTTACTGTACAGTTCAGGCTGCCCCTGAATTAAATATATATCGGGCCAGGGAGATAGCGCAGTAGAATAAGCACCTGCCTGAATTACGTATATAGCCCAGGCTTACCCCAACTTATAGCAACTCTCCTGCCTCAGCCTCCCAAGTGCTGGGACTACAGGTGTGTATCAACACACCCAGACTCTGTTGTTTTTGAGAAATGGTCTCTATATGTGGTTAAGGCTCCCCTTGGAGCCTGGTGGTGATTCTCCTGTGTCAGCCTCCGAGTACTGGGTTTATAGCTGTACACCACAGCCCTTTCTCAAGAGTTTAATTTGTCTGGGGAGGCAGCTCAGCAGCATAAGCACCTGCTTGGGAAATGAAAGGTCCCAAGTTCAATCCCCAGTACCGCAAAACAAACAAAAAGGAAGAAGAATGTTTAATTTGGTTATCTGCACAGAAGATACTTGGTAACAAAATAAATAAATAAAAGATTCTAAGATGCATTACAAATAAAGAACATTCTGGACCACTATGGTCACTCTCACCATACTGTACTTCTTTTCCAATTTTTAATTGGCCCACATCACTCTGCAGAGCATGTTTCTGTTCCCGCCTTTAATAAAAACAAAACTTAGCTACCTTTAAAAGAAAAAAATTTTCTGGTTATAAAAGGAGTGCAAAGACAAAAGTAGCAGCCAGAACTCAGGACCTTAGGGACAGGGAGGGTTGGAAAAGCAGTCATAGGAAGCAGGTGGAGAACTGACCCAGCCAGGAAGCAGACCCCAGGCACCCCCAAGAACCCTGCTCTGTCCAGGAACCTCAGGAACCTGAATCCACAGCAGTGGCACCTCACACAGTTCTCCCCGCTTGCTCAGCAGATCATGCATCAGAGCAGAGATCGTCAATCATCAGCTTGCACACACACTTAACATTTATTCTGCATCTGCTAGGGCGCTCTCCTAAGCAGAAAGAAGAGAGCACAGACATGGTCTCTGTCCTCGCAGAATTTTCTTTCCAGGTTGAAAACAGGCCACAAACAAGTGAGGAAGTGGAAGACTGTGACAAGCACTCTAGTGTAGTTACGTGCCATGGCAGAGTTTAGGACTATTTCAGAAAAGGCTGTCACTTCAGCTACCACCTAAGGATGCAAAGAATGTGACCATAAAAAGAGTATTCCCCAGTGAGAACAAAAAGTGTGAAGATATTCAGCCAAAAATAAGATTGGGGCACTGTAGGTTGACTGTTCGAAGAACAAGGCACAAAACAGCCTATGAAAGGCCAAAAACATTCAGTGAAAAGCCAGTGAAGAGTTTGAGTTTGGGCAGTCCTTTGCCCTGACTTTAATTAGGAGACGATCACACTTGGTGCTGAGTGGAACACAAATCTATTGGGCCACAAAAGGGGGTACGGTCCACAGATGGGAAGGTTTTAAACAAACCCAGGTCTGGGCCAAAGAAAACGTAGAACAGACAAATTCACGTGATATGCTGGAAGTGTACTTAGAGAATTCACGGATGAACCCTGTCCACAGTTCAGCTCTGTTACCTATGTTCTCCACTTTGACCTTCAGTTGAACAACAGTGCCATTTACTGACATGAATAAGGTGAGGTCTGGGCAGAAAGATGAACAGCTCCTCTTTAAGTCAAATCTGAAACATTCCCATACCACATCAGGGAAGGGCAAGACAGCACCTAGCTAACAGAACAGCTTTGGAAGACAGACCTGGCTGGAAAGAGGCACAACACTGGGAGCTCATGTACAGGTGATTTTTAATGTTTTGGTCTGTTCTGAAGCACTGGGTGGCCCAGGTTGGCCTCAAACTTGCAGCAATCCTCCTGCCTCAGCCTCCTGAGGGCTGGAATTACAGCGTGCCCCACCAGGTCCCACACAAATGATATTTGCAGTCACACAAACAAGTGTGATTGTTTAAGAGAAAGAAAGTTCCATCCACCCTGAGAAGTTCAATACTTAGAACAGGAGAAAAGAGCAAGCAGTGAACAGCAAGTCACACCATCACTGTTGAAAAAGGAAGGGGGGCCGGGGAGATGGCTCAGTAGGATACGCGCTTGACTGGCAAACGCAAGGATCTGAGTTCAATCCCCGGTTCCGAACCCTCAGCGCCATAAACACTGCAAAGCTGAAGACGGCATTTCCAGGGCCCTTTGGGTTTGGTAGGATGGATGTCGCCACTGATTAAGACTAGAGAAATGTAAGCGTTCACTAGAAAAAGCCAGGCTGCGCTGGGCTGAGGAGCGGAAATGATGCGCAGGAACGAGACAGCTTCTTCCCGGGTCTAAGACCCGCGTGAAACGTGCAATAAATTCTGACAGGAACCAACATGGCCCCAGCTTGACGCCAGCCTGAAACCCGCGCGCTACAACAGCCACGCCAGGCGCTGTCCCGCTCGCCCACAGGCGACTGCACTAGCAGCTCCCACGCACCGGGCGAGGCCGATCTCCGCCGGCGGCGCGGGAGCCCGCGGAGGGCGCAGCCCGAGGACGAGCGCCCGCGCCGGGCCACGCCCCGCCGCCGCCGCGCGCCAGCCCGCCGCCTCACCTCCTCCAGGTACTCGCCCAGCTGGGCCGCCACGTCCACCTCCCAGTTCTTGGTGAGGTCGCGGATGGGCTGCAAGAGGTGAGCGAAGCGCGCCTCCACGTCCTCCATGTCAGGGAGGGGCCGGGCGGCCCGGGGCCCGCAGCGCCGGCTTCAGACAGCGCCCGCCGCGACCTCAGCCCGCCACCGGCTCTGGCGCCATTTTGCTGTTCCCGCCCAGGAAGTGCGAAAGCGGAGCGCCGCCAGCGACTCTGCGACGCGCGCAGCCCGAGGCGCCTGCGGGGCCGGGCCTCAGGGGCGGGCTTCAGGGGCAGGGCGG